AAGAGCTCTTCGAGCGCTTCTTTGAGGTTGTCGACTTTGATGCGTTCTTGGAGGTTGCGTACCTGGACTTTGTATTAGTAGATTGTTTTATTGGGTTTCATCATGGTGGCATCGCGCGCGCGCACGTCGTCGGGGATCGGGATGGAAAGCTCACATAGACTCTGCGGAGAATGGTCACGTTTAGCACACCTGTCGTTTCCTGGATTCAAAGACAGACAGGTAAAGGGAGAAGATACTCACGTGGGACTAGGGGGAATGCTGGAATTGGCTGCTACCGTCGCCATGATTGCGACAACTGAGCTCTGTCTCAAGCTAGTGTTTTTGATCAGCAGGTCGAGATGGAAGCTTTGCGGTTGAGGTTGATAGGGTCTAAAGCGCAATTTTGAGATATAGAAAAATGTAAGGTCAATTTTTATAACAATTAGCATCATTGGTCTAGTGGTAGAATTCGTCGTTGCCATCGACGAGGCCCGTGTTCGATTCACGGATGATGCACTTTTCTTTTTGCACTTTTTTTTTTTTGGTTCTCTATATACTATCCACTGGCTATCCCTCAACGCCCTTTTCCTTTATTTTCATTTCCATTTCCATTTTTTATTTTCTTCTTCATTTCATATTCTAGAAGTCTATTCATTATGTGCTTGGTATTTTGACCCAAATCCATCTACGCAACTAAAACCCCCCGTAAAGCCTCAACCTCCCCCTTGATCTCCTTAGGCTGTCTAGTCCAATCCCCCAACTTAACCTCATCCGACTCAGTTACCGTATACAAATACTCCGAAACAGTTGACCGGACCTGCTTTAGTTAGCCAAACCTTCTTCGCTATCATGAATAGTCACTCCAGAGTCAATAGACCTACCCTCGGGAACGGATGCAGCAGCATGGCCGTCAGTTTCTTCAGAACCTCGGGCCGGAGCTCTAGGAAGCGAGATAATGGAGCGTAGACCTTGACGGCGGCTTCGAGGCGTTGGATATTGGATGATTTGAAGTGTGCTTTTTGAGTGAGAGTGAACAGTTTTCGGAAGCTACACACAGCGTTAGCGTCAATCAGGCTTGTATATTAGCTGCTCGGTAGACAGGGAACTGACATTTGCTCTGACCCTTCAGGGATAGATGAAATATATCCATCAACCAAGAATGCTAGTAACTCCATGATAGGTATCGCAAAGCGATCGTCTTGCAAGTTCTCACTCAGGATGGTCGACAGATCCTTGAGTATCATGGGCAGCATTGCTTCTCGTTGCTCGACCTTCTTGCTGTTGATACACTGCACCAACGCTAAGCGCGAGGCACGGATTAATCCCTCAGTACCGGCAACAGCTGACGTCGCAAGGCCTTGGTATAGAGGCAGACGCAGCCAGTCAATTGCCTGGAGTTCCAGTAATTGGACGAAGTAATCCGGGAACGACACATGGCTGAAATGGTCGTATTTCCTACTAAAGTCAGCCAAACATCCAGATAAATTAGCAATTACGAAGGCTTGCCTTTGCAACGGCGGAAAATCTTCCGCTGACTCCCAGAAACTCTGCAGACCAAGCCAGGCTTGTATACGGACTTTATCCAGTTTCTCCGCTGCGAGTCGACAGAGACAACCGACAATTTTCTGGGCGCGTGTTGAGCGAGTTTTACGCTCAGATTCCTTTTGGAGAATGATCCTTGCTGCTTGGATTGCTTCTAGTCGTAGTAATGATCCGATATCGCCTCGCCTGTCGGTCGTGTAATCGTTCAAGAAGTTGATGGAATGGTCTACTATATCATCCGTCACAGCTACCAACAGTTAGCATGTGGGTCACCTAGCCTCATCCTGAACTTACTAATATACGGTAGGACCTGCGTCGCCAAGCACTTCACGGCTGCCACTCTCTTCTCGATCAGTTCTTCCGGACTGGCGCATTGGAGTAGCTCCTGTATGATTTCTGATCTAAGACTATTCTCAGGCTCAACGCTCTTGAACACGGCTCCCAGAGCGTATATTTGGCCACGGCCAGTGGAAAGTTTCCTTGTAGTCTGGATATGCGAAAACCAGCCTTGAGCTGTTTGCTTTTGCTTCTCCAACGACAACAGTGGGAACAATTGCGATGCGGCGTCAGAAGAAGCTTCGATTGCGAGGTCTTCCCCGCGGGAAACGCAAAGCAAGAGAGTCTCTCGAGCGTTGTTTATTGAAGCGGTCGAGGGTTTAGGTGGATTGGATGCGTCTGACTTGATGGCTGTTCGAGACAAGGAATCAATGAGACGCGCTGACACTTCCGCCGTCAGTTCAGGGCGAGAGGATTGAAGCGTCAAATCATCCTTGGAAGGGCCGAATGAGGAACCGAAGATGTCCCAAAGCTGAGCAACCTGGACAGCAAGATCTGTTGCTTCAGACGAGTCTGTTTCTTGTTGTTTGTTATAGGCGTCAACAGTAGCTGCAATCGACAGCATACAACCATGTCTCGTCTCCACGTCGTTCCGCGGGAGGTTGGAGAGTTTATGAAGAAGTCGCTGAAGCACAATCCTCATTGTCGTATAGGATCCATGAAGACTAAGAACTCCAATTGCCCTTGCAGCATGTCTTCTCGACTCAGAATCGGGTGAGCCGATGCCTCTCCACTGCATTAAAGATTCCACAAGCGGGCTCCAGTAAACATCATCGAGGGCTGCCGTCGCCTTCGCCACATAGTTCATCGCTCGCGAGCGTCGCGCAACGGCATGATAATCCACGACTTGGACGAGCGATATGCCCTCAGCGATAGTATTCGGGTGACGGCCAATCAGTTCTTGCAAAGCAGCAGAAGAACCTCTCCGGATATTTCCTGAAGGATCCACGCAGGCAGCGCATACGAGCTCAACAGCCAGCATTTGCAGAATGCTAGTTTCTTTTTGCTGCGTAGGCGTACTGATCGCGTCTGCCCTCAAGGCCAGCAATTCCTGCGTCGTGTACTTCCGAGACAGTGCCCAGATACCAAAGCACGAAGCGTCTCGCACACCAGTACCAACAGAGCTACCAGTCGACGACCTCTGCTCAAAGTCAAGTCCAGACACAAGCGGTTGCAGTACATTGTAGAGGTGATGGGTTGGAGGAGCGCGACGGAAAAGCAAATGTCCAAGCGTTAATATCAAGCCTTGCCATCGCTGAGCATCAACCGCACTCAGGTTCCGCTTCAGCGTATTGATCCCAATTCTCCTGGCCTCAAATGGTGCCACTATAGTACCGTCTCGCGTCTCATACAGGATATTCTCCTCCAATGAGCCAGTGACAGCTTCGATAACATCGGCTGCCATCCTTGGGTCCAACTTCAGGGTAATAATACTCAAAGCCTTGCTTGCAGCAAAACGCACAGGCGTATCCTTATCAGCAAGCGAGACCAGCAAATGGTCGATCACTTCTTCCAGGATAACAGATACTTGGTCGTCTGACATGGAGCCATTCTCGTTCAGCGACAGGGCCATCACACTGACGCTGCGGAGAATCTTTATGATAATCTTCCGCGCCAGAGCGGACGACTGGATAACTTTGGATACGTTCGACTCTCCATGCACAATACGTAGAGTCTGCTCGAATACCGGTTCAACCAAGGGAGCAAACCCCTCAACCTGACCAGACGCCGCCAATCGCGCAAGGAAAGACAATACCCCAATACACATATACAAAGAAGGCGGCTCACCACTATCCACCGGTTGAAGTATCGAGAACGCCCATTCCGTAAGGTTATTCAAAACTCCAACAGCCAGCATATCCCGACGCAGAGCAAGCCGTGCAAGCAACGCAGTAGCCGCTTCCCGCTCCTTTCCAGAAACATCGACGTAATTCAGTGATGCAGAAAGTAGAGACTTCGTAACAGCAGGCGTCTGAGGCGAGAGAGTCTTCAGACGATCCAAATTGTCGTATGGTATCGGTATATCATCCGATGATATCGACGACAGATCAAACGGGGCGAGCAACAAATGCGAGAGCCAGGTGAGCATCACATATCGCTCTTCCCATACCAGTCGCCGCGAGATATCGTCACTCAATGCAACCTCCATAGGATCATCTTGCGGAACGGCGTCCCATTCGATGAAAGCGCGAAGCATCGGGTCGAGATACTTTGGCTCATTATTCAGAAACCGGGTGATCACCTTTACCCCGCGCACTTTGCAGAATGTGTAGAGGAGTCTGCACACAGCCCGGGGGAGGGGATAAAGCGCCCCATATGACAGTGATTTTGTAGCCGCTGTTTCAGAAGCATATTGGTCACGATGCTTAAGCAAGTATGCTAAGAAGACATCGACTAATGGCGGCAGGAGCTTTTGCAGATGAGGGTCCAACAGTTGTGGCCATTCTTGGAAGGGTTCGAGCTGTAAGAGTCAGTGTTTTTTATTTCAAATATGGCAATTGATGGTAGCTTACAAGACCTATGAGCTTCTCTGTTTTATTTGCCTGTGTCCATCGTCGGGGAACTCGGATATTGTGTCCATTCTCCGTGCGTGTTTTCCACAGCAGAGACGGTAGTTTTGCAGAGAACTCGTCCACGAGGTCTCCGGATGCCCGTTGAAGTTTGACTTCTCTGTCGTCCGCGGCATCCATAATGATATCTGGTATTTGTATGGAAGTCAAAGAGACGAGTGCTTTGCTGTTGAACCAAGTTCATGGTGGGGACGTGGATCGCCGGTAAGGTCATGTGACATTTTTTGTATAGCAACCACAACGACATGATGATTTCCATTTTATAGAGCATTTTCCAGTCTAAGACTATGCATTTCCACAACGACATGCATTGGTTGCTACAGTTTCTAGATAACAATGATTCCTTTCAAGAAGAATATTGAGTTATAGACTCGCAATATAAGTTGGAACGGACCATGGTTTGTGTCAGAACAGGTGAGTCTAAGATCAGGTCCTCGGTACAGATTATATTTATTCAATCTAGCGATGAAGGAATGAACCAAGAAAGGCAAGGAAAACATTCGAATTTCATAATTAGAGTCGTAAAACTAAGGTATCTAAAGCATAATTTATAAATCATTTGTATAGACCGCGTCAAAGATCCTCATCCTCACCAACAAGCACATCTCCCCCATTCCTACAAAACCCACCCTTACCACCATCCGCCAACTGTATCACAGTCTTCCGAATATGCATAATCGTAATCGCAAGAGCCAATGAAGTCCAAACATCCTGTCCCCGCTCTCCAACATCAAACTGAGAGATGAACTTGCTCCCCGTACCCTCGCCCCAACCCTTTGGACTCAGCGGATCGGTGTCGAGAGTCAAGATGGCAACAATTGGACCGCATATCACGAAGCCGACTAAGAGGGGAAAATTGCGACGAGAAGTGATTCTCATATCGGTGTCGAGTTCTTGCTTTATCTGAGCACCTGCTGTTTTGACTTTGCGTGGACTAGTGCTGCGTAGTGACATTCCTAGTGCGTCGTGGTACCGTTTTGCTAGTTTTCCTAGACGGTTGTTGAGCTCTGAGACTGCATAAACGACCGATTCTCCTTCTTTTTGGGCGCGGATAGTATACACGGGGATTGTCCCGGGTTTGTTGTGTATATCTGCGTCCCGCATAGCCCAGTGGACATATTTCTTGATTGCTCTTCTGATCTTGTCCTCTGGTCTGGTCCGTAGAAAATTGCAGTCTCTCACTTGTCCACCGAGAGAGAACAAGCCGAGAAGAGACTTGATAGCTATAGAAACAAAGAGATAAATCAGCCCTGGTATTCAATAAAGGAGGATGCTTAGGTAGTTCTCAACTTACCATGAAAATCGGAGTGCTTGAAGGCTCGAATAATGGGAATTGCTTCATCTTCGGGAAGAGAAAACATGGTATCAGGAAGCGTCGAAAAGTCATGTTGCCAGTGCCGGGGCAGTAGAGGCTCGAAACCGCGCATTGCCAGCCGGAAGAAGAGCTCTTTTTCTGCTTCACCCCAAGCGTCCTCGGGCAGACTGACAGCTGCAGCCCAGCGCTTGGCTCGCTCCAGAGAGAAATCGTAAACAACGCCTTTTGTCTCTTTTTTGGAGACACCACGTTCATCATCATATTCGTATTCGTCATCTTCGTCATCGCTCAGTCCGTCATCAGCACCGGTGAGAAGAAGCTGTCGCCTGGAAAAGGCCGTTTTAACAGCCTTAGACGGAGGACGATATAGGTCATCGTCGTCTGCTCCTTTGGACAAACTTCTACCTCTCTTTAGTGACTTGGGAGAGTCCCAGGATGGATCTCTATCGTCGTCGTCAGGCAGCTCAGGCTCGAGTGAGTTCCCAGAATTCCAGATCGGGGACTTGGGATTGACAAAGTGAGATTGATACGAAGGCTCCTTAGCAGGCAGCCCACCGATAGGAGAGGAAGGCGTCGGGTAGATTGTAGAATTCAAGGTCTGGCCTTTAGGGGTAGTAGGCCGCTCAGTATGGTGAGCATTGTCCGCTGCATCCGTGAGACGAGGCGAGTTTTTGCTTTCAGTCTTGACTCGTGCTTCCCTCCCGCTTGACAGATTTACCCGTTTTGGTGGCCTCATGAACAAATGACTCTGACACTCTACCGTCTTAGTGACCGCGCTTGAGATCCCCTTTCGCTTGCGGGAAAGCCGCCTCTGTGTAGGTGACATGGATTCATCATCGCTATCGCCAGGTACATATTCGGGACGATAAGTCGGATCGATGGTTTTAGATTTGCGGGCTCGTTTTGTCCCCGACGGGAGCCATTCGTATTCCTCGTCCGATTGCCGGCGATAGTCCGCAACGGGGAGATGTGTTGGATCGATGGCCTTAGACTTATGAGGGCGCTTCGTCCCAGATGGGAGCCACTCGTACTCATCGTCTAATTGCTGATGATCGTCTCCAGTAGGGCGATAAGTCGGGTCGTTCAATTTCCGGGGTCGTTTCGAGGCCGTTCCTGATGGAAGCCATTCGTATTCATCGTCTGATGCCCGATGGTCATCTTCAACAGGAAGATAGGTCGGGTCGAGGGGTTTAATAGTCTCTAGTCCAAATCTGATAGAGTCCGGAGTTGGATAGACCATGTTGGTCATGGTATTCTGAGGGGTCCGTGGCGTTCCCATGTTGTTCTTTCGTTTTGCTGAACTTCGATGAGCACGAAAATTACCAATTTCACTGTGCAAAATTGTTCAGAGAAGGAAAGAAGTGTCAGAAAGATGGAAGTTACCGGCTGTTTAAGTGTTCGGCTCTTCGAGAACCGGACAGCCCTCGAGTCAGACAAAGGTAAAGAAAGAAAGAAAGCGTCGAGACCGTTCTTTATGCTATGCTTCTATCTTTGGATTTCTTTCTCCTATTGATGAATGGAATAATGAAAAATATATTCACAAAGAATGAAATAAACAAAGCATTTCATTTCTGCCCATTGCAGACTGGATGGTGGGTGTTCTATCTTTACTTCCTTTACTATATTCTTTGTTATTAACGCTTCATCTGTTTTCCATCCAATCTTTATCTCTCATCCATTCTAATACATTACCATCACATTCACCAATCTAATAATGATAGGACTTCGTGCACTCTGCTCGACTACACCGTGTTCGTCAAGGAAATCGGTCCTTGGCCTTCTCTTCAAACAGCTGGGATTTTCGGTAATGTGGGAAAAGTGGAAGTATGAATGCATTGATTTTTCATGCGTTGAACTCCTACTGCTACTTTGCTTCGTCTACTCCTTACTGTCTCATTTCGCGTGCGAATTATTCTGATCTACCACGACATCCCCTGGGAAATCTGGCCTTCTGTTCTTGGCTTTGTTATCGCAATTGGATTTCTATAATCACTGTGTACACCGAGTCATCGATACGCTACTACTACTACTATGTTGCTTGACCGTTTTTCGCAAAAAAAAAAAAAAAAAAAAAAAAAAAAAAAAAAAAAAAAAAAATTACTCGTAACAATTAAAAACCAAGAAAAATTATCCAACGTAACCATAAAAACCCAAGATTTGGCGCATTATGTATGATGCTTCAAAGGGTCTGATATGTAATACAGTTCATGAGACATTTGAGCGAAGCTGTATAGGGCACCTGAATTTAGGACGATGTTCTGGATGTTCTGGAAATAGCCTAGTTCTCAGAACGAGAAAAGGTGAATGATTGATAGCGGTAGCCTGTATGTATAACAGAGAAACATATCTCTAGAATAAATAGTCATGGCTGCATGTATGATAGAGAAAAATAAACACTTAGAAGTGAATGTTGAGCAAGTTTGAGAAAGTGAATAACCTGAATCTCTTCTCACACTTCTTTCTATTCTATCTCTCCCTATCCTACTCGATCCACCCTACTTAATCCATTCTACTCCTTTTATTCTCCTCCTAAAACCACCTCTCATCTATAAGCACGATGGTAGCTGGACTAGGTAAAATAGCCAACGCCATCATCAACAGCATGCCCAAGTTCTGGGGCCATTTTGAAAAACTGCTGAACATAATTGTGACGGCTCAACGCCGCATCATCGGCTGATATAGATAAACGACACCAACACGCCAAACAAAGCCGTACAAGCAACCAAGGCAAACGCGGGCATGAGCCCTGTCGCACAATGACTATAAAACCCCTTCTCCATCTAGATAGATTTCCTTTTTTTCTTCTCCTCTCCAGATTCGATATTCTCGTCGTTAGGCTACCTAGTCCAGATATGAATATCATTCGTTTTATCTACTAGCTTTCGAGCCCGTGACAATAATCGGAACTCTTTTCTCTGCGATCATCTGTGGCTTCAAGGAGTTCATTGTGTATTTGTACAAAGAACCCGAGGATATGTGCGCCACATTTTTCTGGATAGTTCTGAATATGTTTTGGACATTGTTCAGTCAAGTCTTTACCATTTTCACGATAGTGAAAATCTGCCCAGGTTGGGGCGCGCCAGGCGATAACAAGCTTCTATGCGTTGTTGCCAGTTTTACGCTTGCTGTGGAGATTAATCGATTATCCGCCTTCTCATGAGAAGTGGAAAAGCGTGGTACAAGTAAGTAGTATGCATAATATACCCACGAAGTGTTTACCAGATGCTGACTTCTGGGGATTTAACAGGCGCTACAAAGATCAGCAACATATGGAGAACAACGAAAATGCCAATGAGGAAGGTCTTTCATATAAAGGAAGTAATGAAGAAGACATTCACAAAGAAACAAAGAAACACAGAAACAAAAAAGCAAAGAAACAAAAGGTTTTTGTTCTCAGTCGCTTTACCTACGGGCTGATTATTGAATGATTGACAATGAAGGTCACAGGTTTGACGGGCGATAGAGAGGGGAGTGAAAAGAGAAGTGACGGTCCTTGAGGGTTAACCGGTTGGAAAGCACCACCCAGAATGACTCTCAGCCCTATGTCCGGGAACGAGGCCTCCATACTGCACAACGTCACATTTATAACAAGAATTAAGACCGTAAATGTGAGCTGGAATAATGATAAGGTGGCTTGAGTGGTGTACCAACGAAAGTCTTATATGCGTATGCATCTTGTGGAGGCAGCAGTTCTCGGACAGTCGCGCTGGAAGGGATCCATCCGAAGTAGAGCTTCTTGATACCTATGAAGGCATCCCTCAGAGGCCTATATTGTGAGAAGGTCAGTATGATGCCCTCCTGCACTTCGCTTGAGACTGGGACTGGCTGCAAAGCGAGTGGAATGTACGCACCATCAGTGTTGCGTTTCGATCGCCATATGACCCGGTGCTGGAAGCGGAGCTCTTCTGATAAAATATAGAGATAAAGTCCACATCAATCTCTGATAGATAGGAATGGAATACTGATATTTTCTCTATGCAGATAAAATTTGGTGTGAAATAACTTATTTTCTTGAAGAAAACAAGAGTCAAGTATTCAACCGAATAAGTAACACTACTATCTGGTTCGAGGCAGCAAAGTGCAATATAGCAATGAATGAGGTTGGTTGTAAGTAAATGCACAGTTGCAGCTAAGATTTTGAAAAATGTACCAATATTCGTCCGCCTGCCCTGAAACATAAGAGGAACCTAAGAAAAACGAAAGAAACAAATTGTTCTTCTTTTTCCCGCTTCCCTTTTCCATTTCCTTCATTCTATTGTATTTTACTTTGTTTTATCTTTTATCTTTTATCTTTTATATTTATATATATATATATATATATAATTTTTTTCTTCTTCTTCTTCCCTGGGAAGAAAGATTCGAGTCAGACAACTATTACGGGGGCGGGAGCTGTTGTTCTGCAACCGAGTACTTCTTGATCCATCCATCGACCACCATCCACTAAACCAATACCTTATCACTTTTGACATCTTCCATCGCCATACCATAGCTCTTGGTACTTATCTGACAGGTGTGTCCCGGCTATCACTACCCAGGGTGTAAGATGGATGTACTTCTAAGTGAGATTCCTATCCCATCCTTGATTCCAAAGTATTAACGGAGATTGTATAGTGATCTGCCCTCTTGCTAATAACACCGAACGGGGTCCAAAGCCCGTGTACTTCTCTCCAGACTTTGGCATGAGCAAAGACACCATCCTTGCAATTCTACAGAACCATCGCCCCCTGGTACAAATGCTATGGCCTCGCCACGAAATAGTAACATCTACCGGCCTGAGATCAAACACAAGGAAATTCACCCTTCAAGATCCTTGTGGAAGCAGACACAAACTTTCATTAACCAACTTCGATAACGGCATTTCAGTCTCAAAGAAGACTCCATTTCGGGATCTGTCTGTGGTACGTTGGGAAATACAAAAGGCATTGAGGTGTGGTCGAATAGTTTTGCTTCGACGAAATTGCTATATCTAAGCTGGTTTTAATGCGGAAAGTCAAGTATATAATAGGATGAATCGTTACTATTTTCATGAGAATAGAAGAATAAAGACTTTCATGGGTATGTCGAGCAGCGTGTGCCCAGTGCATGAAGAGAGAATACGGAAAAAAACGACAAACCAACATCATGCTGAGTAAAGGAACTAGAAGACAAGCATTTGTTTCAAACGAACCCAACTTTCTCTTTTGACATACACATAATCGTAAACACAACAATATAGAAGAAAAGACGTTTCAAGCGGGGAGATAGTAAGATTAGGCAAAGTCCGCAGTGTAGGAGAAGCCCCGGAATTCTTCCTGCATGGCCTGGGAGAGGACTGCACATTGTTAGTATTACACTGACAGAAAGAGTCGAGCTGTAAAAACTTACCTGATTGCACCGGCGTAAGAACCGGAGTGACACTGGTGAACTCCGTGTCGAAGTTGCTGGTATCGGTGGGGTTGCTGATAGTAGGCAGGAATGGCGGGGGCACACGCTTGTGGTAGATGTCATCCCAGTTGATGTTCCGGAAGAAAGCATGAGACATGACTTCCTGAGCATCTGTTGGTCCCGAACCAAGACGCAACTCAGGCTCACGGGTGAGCAGCTTCTGAAGGATCGAAACCGAGTCACGAGGCATGTGAATCGGGTACAGAGGCTCATCAGCGAGAATGGCGTCGTAAATTTCATCTTCGTCTTCACCACGGAAGGGAGACTGCTGAAGGAGCATCTGGTAGATGAGGACACCAAACGCCCACCAGTCAACAGCACGGCCGTATTTCTTATCCAGGAGAATCTAATTTGCGGTCAATAAACATGCTCATGATGGGTCGGTAGAAAATGGTAGTATCTTACCTCAGGAGCCATGAACTCAGGAGTACCACAGAAAGTGCTAGTGGTACAGCCATACCACATGTTCTCCTTACAGAGACCATAGTCTGCAATCTTAATGTGACCATCCAAAGTCAAAAGAATGTTATCCAGCTTCAAGTCACGGTAAATGACACCGTTCTCGTGGAAGTACTTGAGAGCTAGACAGACTTCCGCGGCATAGAACCTATCAACGGTTAGCTACCATCCCTTTCACCAACTGTTGCATTGTAAACGTACTGTGCGCGCTTCAGACCAAACTGGCCTCGCTGAATGTGCAGCATCAGATCACCACCACTAATGTACTCCATGACGAAGTACACACGGGTCTCTGTCTGGAAACAGGCGTGAAGGTTCAGTAAGAAGGGGTGACGTTCCTTGTTAGCAACTAAGAAGACGCGCTTCTCGGACTTGGTGCTCTCCACTTCGTCGTTCTCGATAATGAATTCTTTCTTCAACACCTTGATGGCATAAAGCTTTTTGGCACTCTTCGTCTCTGCCAGCATGACCTTACCGAAGTTACCCTTACCAAGCACAGCAAGGAAGTTGAAGTGGTCCAATCCAATGCGGGCCTTGGCTTGCGCTGTAGGAATGTCTTCCTTGACAGGGACCGGCGGTTGCATTGCAGGAACAGGCTGTTGCGGTGAAGGCATACCATATGGCGAACCGACCTTTTGCATAGCTTGTGGCGGGGGCATAGCTTGCTGTTGATAAGACACATATGCAGAAGGGTCGTACGGTGCATGCGAAGGCGGCTGCGGCTGCGGCTGTACTGGGCGACCCATATCGACTGCAAAGGCATGCGTCAGTATCGTCTTGTTATCGACCAAGTTCGAAGAAGACATACCCGGGGGCTGCTGAGGAGAACGCAACCCTGTTGCCGCCGCGGCAGCAGCGGCGGCAGGACCTGCTGTTGGTGTGGTCCTTATGGGCATCTGTTGCCGTTGGGCAACAGCAGTTGGTGACTGTGGTGGGATATACGAGTTAGTGGCGGCGCTCACAGCTTCGGCAGAAGCTCGTCTAGGGGGTGGTCCCCCGTAAGGGCCCTCGACTGGCTTTTGTGGGTACGCAAGTGCTGCGTTATCTTGGGGGGCTTGAGGCGGGCCGCCTGGTCGAAGGGTGCGACCGCTTAGACCGGAACTAACAGATGTTGATTTGTTGTGATTCTTCGCGCGAATCAGTGTTTCCAAGATTTGGTTTGCTGCCTCCATGGACATGCCACAGAAGTCAGGTACCAAATGCGTGCAATGAGCGTGGCAGGCGAGACCGCATTCTAGAAAGGAAGCGCAAGGGGTCAGTCTTCTCTCGTGTCTCTTGTCACAATATCTCCAAGGTTCCAAATACCTGAGCATCTCTTGGCACTCTTGCGTCCAAAGGGAAGCAAGTAACCGCAGTGGCAACACCAGTTGGCCGAAATGTTGGCAAATCCTTCGAAACGATGCGGGATACGGTGGTTGATCTTCTCCTCGTCGGGATCGGTCTCGTAGTTGGCCTTGCTGATACACTTGGTGACGACCTTGGGATAGCACTTGCGATGACAGGTGTACTTGCAATCGGCACACTGCATGCCGGCTGCATACTTCAAAAAGTCGCCGCAAAGAGCGCAACGCATGATGTTGTAGAACTGTTGCGTGACAAACTTGTGTCCCTGCTTCTCGTGGACTTCTTCCTTCTTCTGACGGACAGCACCTTGACGATTCAATCCGATATCGAATGGTCGTCGGTCCTTCAATTGCTTGGCTGCACATAGATATCAGTAACCGATTATCCCGGAGGAACGTAGGGCTCAAATCCCGACACTTACCGAAGCTCATTGACAGATTAATCCGGCCAACAGGCTCCAACGCAAACCAAGAATCGACCATGACATGGCTTGCTGAAGGACCACCAGCGCCCCCTTGACCTTGCCCTGCGGCGCCGGTTGGTCCTGCCGGACCCGGGTTCTGGGGAGATCCTAGGGGAGCGGATGGATCTGGTCGCGCCGTCGAGCCACCGTGTTCCATCTTGTCGGCAGATACCCAGCCCGAGGCGTTGAACTCGGTCTCAATTTTCTTACGACGCATTTCCTCTGCGATATCCGATATACGAACCCAAAGCATACCGATTGGCGTGGGTCGGTCCCCGGATTTATCGTACACAGTCAATTCAATTTCATTGGCCTTTTCGATGTCGATGCTGAAAGCTTCATCTTGCCACCTGTCTGACCGGGTCGCCCTCGTTCTCGCTTTAATGGCGTCTTCGACTTTGAGAACAACGAATGTTTCCGGACCACGAGAAAATCTGGAGCTTGCCGCATGATCGACATCCCTGACAGCCTGGATGCGCATCGTCAACAAACCCGTCAAGGGTTTGCGCATGTTAGGAGTGCTGAGACTTTCATCTGGTCGCGGGTCAGTATTGGTCCATTTCTATCCAAGACGAGAAGAATCCATACCGTCGGGGGTATCCGAAGATTCAATGTCGACATGGAGGTCTTCGTATCGCTTAAGGGCTTGCTTGAGCAATTGGATTTTCTGGTTACTTTCAATCCGTCGACCCTCTGCATCGGCGCGACTCTTCCTATCCCCTTCATCTTGATATAGACGGACCATCTTCTCAATACCGGCTTTGTATTGTTTTTCGACACTCAACTTGAATTCGAGCTGGGACAACATGAGCTGGATCTTCGGACCGAGATACTGTGTGTCATATTTGATCAAGTCTGTATGGCAATGAATGATCAATTAGTCTTCTCTCCAGCCAATATATCCTGCTTTTTGATGTCCCAGTAGGCAACGTACCAAGCTTAGTGTAATTCGGCCTGGCCTTGGGAACCGGAGCAAACGGACGGGGATCAGAAAACGGGGCGCCCGATGGCATGGAGCCTGCTCCTCCTTGCGGAAAGCCACCAGCAGCATCATCGTATTCCTCATCCCCCCCGTAGCCATAATCTTTCGGAGGAGGTACCGGGCCCGAGGCAGCCGGATTCCCCCCATACGGATGACGGCTCTCGGTGGGGGAACCGCCACCATCATGCTCGATGCGACGGATCTGAAGCTCTCTCATCTTCTCCTCCAAGTAGGCGATGTTTTTCCGGCCATCGCGGATATTCGCGTCGACTCGTTGTTGGACGAGGGGGTTATCGGTGGACTGCCGCATGTTGGTCGCAGCGGTTATGAGGGCCTTTTCCCTCTCGATCTTGCGATAGACCGAGGCAATGAGCTCGTCCCCGTCCATTTTGGCGGTCTAGTCACTGACGCGGGGGTTATGGTTATTGTCGTGACTGATGGTTGTTATTGTAGTTTAACGGTGGGGCGATCGAAGGGAAGGGGAGCCTCAATAGCGAAGGAGTCGTCGTCAGAGGGCGTTGTTGTATGTACCGCAAAGCCGATCCTCGGAACACGGATGACAGCTCGATAATGAAATCAGAACTTTTTTATTTTTCCCTTTGCCTCTAAATAGAGAAGAAGAGATTAAAATAAAGCGAAAAAGAAGCGTGCGGGTGAGTGGAAAAAAGGGTGTTGTGGGAAGAAGCGTCGCGGGGCTGTCGGTCTCTAGTACTCACGGTGTCTTCTTGTTGACAGGTGCAAGGGAAGAAGAATGAGGAGTGGAAATGAAACTAGCAACGGGCGACCACCACCACAACCACAACGAGAAAATTATATTATATTATATTATTATGAAGGACGAAGTGGATGGAGAAAAGAGAAGAAGAGAGAGAAAAAGACAAGAAGAATGTGAGACACTGGGCCCGTTGAATGACGAACCTTCTTTTGAGGGGAGATTCCGGTCCGATTCTGCCCAGGGATTTTGTTGTGTTGTTGGATGTTGTGGGTTATTATCTGTACTGGGGATTGTTTGTTTCGCGTCTGAAGCAGAATCTGTCTCTATATCTCTCTTCTAATATTCCTCTCGTCTAAAGGATTGTCCCCCGGGGGAGAAAAAAAGAATTTGTCCCAGACGCAGAAAGTATCCCAATTCAGATACCGCCTACACCACACTGCTCTTTACGGTCAATGTTAGACACTGCAGTGTACAGACAGAGGGATGGATTAGGTTATCAAGCCGATCAGGCTGATTTATTGTGGCTCTGGAAAAAAAGAGAAAAAAAAAGAAAAAAAAAAAAAAAGCAAGAAGGAAGGGAAAAGAAAAGCTTGACAGGGGCTATGAATACCTGTCCGCGAATGGAATCATACTACTATGGAGTACAGACTACGGAGTACGCCGAGGAAGTGAGGACAAGTCAGATACAGCTATGCAGCTATATTGCTAGCAAATATTGAATTGCTTGCAAAACATTGGACGTCGGAACCGTTCCGGCTGCTCTTGTTGCCCGGTTGCCCGGTTGTTGAATGACCCTTTATAATGTTATTCAACGCCCGGGAAAATAAATAGGAAGACCATGGAATGGTCTCGACATTGACTTCAATCCAGAGGCACAACGCCCAGTCCGGCCGGTTTCCAAGGGAATAACCACCCACCCGGCCATGAATTGGACGAAAATATAGACATGCAGAGACTCAATTGGGCCACGGTGATATCTCTCGTCATCATCGACTTACAACCCTGTCAATGGCACCGCCACATAGGTGTTTCAACCCACGGTCTTTTCCGCCACGAGATTGTCTGGATCTGCAAAACATCCCGAGAGACAGCTTCCATTGGTTGCTGAGTATCTCGGGTCGAGTCCTCCAACTGTCGGGTGGGTTCCGGGGCACATGAGAGCTGAGTTGAAACTGGATTCTTCATGCAGCCGAGTTGTCAGCGCAGCTGTATCCCTTGCGACACACAACCATGTCGAAATTAGAGTCATGTGCGCGGTTGAAAAGACAATGCACATACATGCAAGATAGGGTGTTTACATATTCAAACGCCGTCTCGAACTCGTGATATTATGAGCGTGGAAATTGTTGGGAACTCAAAAGTACGAAACTTAGTCCGTCTTTTTTGAACGCAGTCTAGACCACAGAAGCTGTCAATACACAGGGTCATCGGTATTAGAACCCTATAGGGTTATCTCGTGTAGAGCACTCGAAGCAGTCTGCAAGGATTCCCTGTACAATCCAATCCACGATCCACCGATTTGGGCAAATGATCCCAACTTGTATTATCTTAAAGTTCCTGTTAAGGCCACTTTTAGGACGCAAGGGCAAACAAACGGCACTGTTATGTACTTGCAAGGCTTGCTCTCTGCAGTAAGAGTTGCAAGGGTTCCGCAAGCCAAACGATTCCTCGAGGCCATAGTTGACGTTACTGGATTGGATCATCACCGATCTATTCTCCTCATTGACCATACCCGCTTTTTCCTCAAGGCCTTCTCTCCCTTCTCGATCATACATCCAAGGATCGAATCCAAGTCCTTAGGTTTGGTTATTTCACAAACAGTATCCCCAAGCTTGTCCCAGACGAAGATGCGATCTCTTTACCGAAACATGATGCACAACTCTCCAGTCTCTTGTGTGGTATGTATCACAAATCGAGGATCTTCTAAGCCATATTCCCTCGCAATGAGTGGACCTTCCCACTTCTGTTCTTCCCATGGACCGCCGAAGCCAACTTCATACACATTAGCTGTCCAGCCTTCGGGGACTCTGGACTCTGACTTTCTATAGTTAGGATATTGCTGAGTACACAAGAAGTAGGGCCACTTACAATTGAAATCATTATTGTAGTCTACGGTACTTCTGTTGGAGAGAGGGGATGCGAAACTATATTTCATGCAGGAGACGTCACTATTGCTAATCGACATCACAATGCTTTAATTGATGTAGTGACTACGATTCAGGCACAACAAAATATCTCCTCCATTGGCGTTATTGCGAAAATGATCTCGTAGTGGGACGCGATTTAGATCTAGAAAGCACCCCACGGTGTCCCGCTCGGAGAAGAATTTCTGGGACCCTGGGACAAGCTAAAATTTCTCTACCACACCACCACACTCTCACCATCCAGACAAGCAACAACAGGAGAAATTCCTGTATTCTAATACTCTACTTCAAATCCACACCCTCAACCTCCACCTCCCACCTTCAAAAAACAAAATGGGCCCTCCCCGCCGAAAAGTCCTCGCAACCGCCGAAGAAACCCTCACCCCGCCAGACGAACTATTGCAAGGCCAGACCATCGCGAAGGTCATCAAAGCCACCGGGAAAAACATCTACCAGGTGGAATTCCCGTCGAAAGAATCCGTGCTGGTCGAATTGCCTGCCCGCTTCCGGTCCACGATCTGGATGAAGCGGGGGTCGTTTGTTGTTGTTGATACGAATGCGCTCGAGGATCGGGATAATAAGTTGCAGGGGGAGATTGTGAATATTGTGAGGGATGAGAAGGCTTGGCGGAAGGCACCATTTTGGTGAGTTGGATTGGGAATATAAAGGAGTGGTTTGCTAATGGGTTTATGATATACAGGCCGAAGGAATTCGCTAAGCAGCCTGTCACAAGGGCAGAGGATTCGGACGATGATGAAGAGGAATCGAACATGGGAAAGATGCCTTCATCCGACGAGTCTGACGCATAAACAGCCCAATTTCTACCGAATTGAACGACACGACAAATATTATTCTAGAAAACTACAGTATAACGAAGGACTCATTGCGTGTGAACTTCGGCTTTACTGTCAGGCCTCTGGTGCTGAACATCGATTGCCTTGGACCCATTCGCCAAAACACTAAAGACCTGAACAGCAAGTGAGAGGACAACAACGAGAGAACTGGCGTTGGTGCTCGGATACGTATTCCAAGCCCATTCCTGCAATGCCCACACCGCACATATCAACACAGGGTGAAATCCACCTCTCCAAAGCAGGAAGGGTGTCGCCCAGGCGAGATAAGCAAAGAATTGGTAATGGAGGGACCTTGCGCACAACAACCCAATCGCGAGAGATGTCAACATAACCGTCATGATGAATGTTTTGGAGAGCGTTACTGTGTGTTGGCGTCCCTTGATTGTGTTGCGGAGGAATCCAAACAGGTTGGATCCTGATGGCTTCAGCCAGGTTGTAGAAAGGAAGGCAGTCAAGAGGACGGCGTGTAGCGCTAGAAGACCCAGTGAGAAGTTCTTAGATAGGAAGATCTCTTCACCCACGAATCTCCAATTGACGGTCCATTTGAACATGAACTGCCTGGTTAGTTCGAACGCGCGCGAAACGTATCCTACAGGGTCTGCTTGAAGGAAGGGAATTGCCAGTAAAACCTGTATTGCGTCAGTCGGCCGTAGAGCAGAGCTTCAGTAACGCAAATACATACCTGGACAAGCACCGCTATAATCCCCAATGTGATACTCGGCAACAAACCTAGACTGAGCACCGCGACCACAGCAATCGCAGGCGCAAGAAGCAACACGGTCATCTTGATCCCAACTCCCACCGACCAAACAACAACTCCAGCCGTCCATTTCCTATTCATGAACAGCAGGATAGCACCCCACATAGCCAGCGCCGCGACGCCATCATTGAACAACCGCAATACAAAAATACTATGCAGCCGTTTTGAGAGCACAAGCAGCGGGAATAGATACGGCGGAGCCCTCGTTTGTCTATAACACGCCAACACCAACCCCAGAACAGTGATATAGAGCAATCCGAATAGTATCTGGCCATAAACGATATCCCGTCCTTGTTCAGTAAGGTGGTAGAGGATGCTGTAGATGTATACGTGCGCGGCGGGATAGACGAGGGGTCCGGTCGAGCCTCTGATCAGGGTGTAATCGCGTTCGCCAGAGATATACAGCGATACTTGTTGCATGTATGTCGTCCAATCGATTTCAGTATCTGTAGTGCGTCCATATAGTCAGTGTGGTTGTTCGCGACGATAGAATGCGCGAGGTCTCACATGGGACTTTCCAGATCACCAAGGCGCAAAGCAGGGCGTCGCCTAGGACGAAGAGAGGGCCCATCCATTTTGTGTGTCGCGGGTTGAAGAGAAGGCCGTATGCTAAATTTGTTAACGCCATTACGGCATGCGATCTGGCATGCTTGTCTGTACAAGTCTTGGGCAGATGTTGCGCGTTGCCTCAGGCTGTGGGCCAATGGGGTTTATCCCTTTCCGGCTTAGCGTGTTTGTTTTGATATCACCACAGATGACAGCCGGGGTTATGGATACAGCAGACTCGCCAATTTGACCAAATTGATGGATTGCATGAGATGTAATTCGTTTATTGATATACAGGTATAATAACACAATATCTGTCAATCGTAAAATGTTGCAACAACTATCTGTACAGGAAAATGATGGGATATAACGCTAGTACCCAGAAACACACACCCTTTTTGACCCTCTAAACCAATTGGTTCTCATTAGAACCTTGCGAGTATCATAATTGTAAAATGGAACCAAATGCTTTCTTTCTTTCTTTTTTTTTTTTTTTTTTTCAAAGACCCGAGTAGGCCGTTGGCTCTTCTCCATCGAAATGAACCGATCCTTAAAATTCTTCCCTCCCCTGCTTCTGTGAGGTACCTTTCTGATCCGAGAATCCTAGTAAATCTCCCAAAACCCCACTGGGTTTAGGCACTGGACATTGCCTCCGGACATGTTCCAATTTCTCTGCTTCGGCCTCCATCTGGAAGAAAGTCGACACCTCTTCGTCGGCCGGTTGAGGCGCCGTGTATGGTGTATTCTCCCGGTCGAGCATCTCTGCGTCCTTCCTCCTCCGTCGCCGAATTCTCTGTACTTGTTGTCCATCCGCTGTGACCGTCATCTCAGAATCGGCGAGTGTGCGACGCGGGGCGGGGCATGGGAAAACGTGTGGTAAACCCACAACCACCAAAGAGGCCAGGAGGGTCGTGGCAAAAAGGGAGGCGGTCGACCGGGACCGGGGATGGAGGTGAGGCGGCATGATCAATTGGTGAGGAAAAGCAAAAATGGAGGGTAATTGCGGTTGGAATTGCGGCGTTAGAGTAACATCGGAGGGGTCTGTGTCTGTTGTGTGGTACGATTAGTCGAGGTCCAACCGGATATTCGGGAAGATAACATACCTCAATGACGAAGCCAAAAGCAATTGACAAGCCCCTTAAATATAATCCATGGCCTCTCCAATTGACGTGTGTATGTTGGGGACTGCGGCCGTTGAGTGATGCGGTTCCGCCGACTCAAGCCGGACTTGGGAGAATTCGGCCTGGCCTTGGCGATCAGATCTAATCTTATCTACTGGCTATGTGATTGGCTGCGACCCCATCCAGACAGCACAGCGCGAAAGTCGTCTCGACGCGCGGGCAAAAAAAGAGCAAAAATAACATCATCTCCCCTCCTGCCATCTCATCTACTTTTATCATTAAAAAACCAATTACAGCGGGGATCCGGTCGGGAGATGCTCCAGACGAAGATGACTCTATTTTTCCTCTGCACCTAACGATTTCTTCTCCCACTCGATTCTGCTGCGGGTGCTCTTCCAAACTCACTTGACCTGCCTCGCTCTTATCCAGGACCCACTGATCTTCTAACCCGCTCAGACGCCAACAGTCCCATTCTCTCGAGTTTAAAACCGTTCGTTACATTGAATCACCATGAGCGATCTGGACGAGTGCGTTGCTTTATCTCTTCGGATACCAGGGAATTGGAGGATGCTAATACCGGTGCTGTAGGGCGATCGCGCAACTGCGCGCCTGTCGTTTGATACCCGAAACCCAAGTCCGAGAACTCTGCTACAAAGCGCGCGAGCTGTTAATCGAAGAAGGAAATGTGGTTTCGGTGGATGCCCCAGTCACGATTTGTGGAGATATTCACGGCCAGTTTCATGACTTGATGGAACTTTTCCGGGTCGGGGGCGATGTTCCCGACACCAACTACCTTTTCATGGGCGACTTTGTTGACCGCGGATTTTACTCTCTCGAATCCTTCCTCCTCCTCCTTTGCCTAAAAGTCCGATACCCAGACCGTATGACCCTTATCCGCGGGAACCACGAATCGCGCCAGATTACCACCGTGTATGGCTTCTACGACGAATGCATTCGAAAATATGGTAGTGCGAATGTGTGGCGATACTGTTGTGAAGTGTTTGATTACCTGGCGCTGGGCGCTCTTGTGCTGGGGGCAAGTTCGGAGCTGGAACCGTCTGTGTCGAACGTGGAGAGCACACAAGCCATGATGCCGATTGACGACGGAGAGCTAGAAACCGAAGTCCTAAACTCCAAGGGGGAAGTCACCGTGAGCACTTACAGACGACGACAAAGATCGTCATCCAACACATCAACCGATTCGAGAAACATTTCCCCGCCAAGGGACATCTCCGCCGCACCAGGTAACTCCAGCCAGGCACCATTGCGATCCGGAGCCCCAGGCACAGGCGCATCAGGCTCCGGGTCCGGCAGCTACGGCAATACAAGCAGAACAGGCGCAGTCCTTTGTGTGCACGGCGGTCTTTCCCCCGCCATCGAGTCCGTCGACAAAATCCGCCTCATCGACCGCAAGCAAGAAGTCCCCCACGAGGGACCTATGTGCGATCTTCTCTGGTCCGACCCAGACGAAATTGAAGGCTGGGGTCTCAGTCCCCGCGGCGCCGGTTTCCTCTTCGGTGGCGACATTGTCAAAGGATTCAACCACACCAACGACCTCTCCCTCGTTGCGCGTGCCCACCAGCTCGTCATGGAGGGGTATAAGGAGATGTTCGACGGCGGAATCGTTACTGTTTGGTCCGCCCCGAACTACTGCTACCGCTGCGGGAATGTGGCTGCGATTATGGAACTTGGCGAGGATACGAGTAACGGCGGAACGGTGGCACGAAACAATGGCGAATATGGTCGGAGTAATGGTATTTTGATGGGTTCTAATAGTGTTGGTTCTTCAGTTGTCAGTCCGGGGAGACGGTACAGGGTGTTTGAGGCGGCCGCGCAAGATACGAGGGGCATGCCGGCGAAGAAACCTGTTGCTGATTATTTCCTGGTGAGCCCCCTCTTTCTTTCTGAAGATTCAACGGCCATACTAACAAGTCGCAGTGATACCATTTAAAGTTTATTTATGGCACTTGTGATTATGGTAGCGCATCCTTTGTATTTGACTCAGTACAACCCAAGTAACTCGTTTGCATCCAGTTCACATCTATGAACGTCAAGATATTTATTCTTTCTCACTATGCTCCCTATGACACATAACAATCTACACATGCTTGGATACCATATAATGACCTAAAACAGTCCATCATACGGCTCCATCAGAGCATTATGCTCAATATCATGCGGGAAGCTCTCCCCCTCTGCGGTAGTATGGCACCAAGGCTTAAGCCCAATCTCCTCCCTCAGTTTACTCGAGAAGCACTTGGACCACTGGCGGCGCGGATAATGGCCAGTGACATCCTTCACGGTGTTGGGATGGACATACTCCTTGTGAGCACCGATGTTATCTAACCCAGAATCAGCACTCTTCCCATACCATAAGAAAAGAGAAGAGCAACATACCAAACTGCGTAGCCAACTGAATCAGCAACCCAACCGTATGAATCGTCCCAACCCTCACTGAATCCTGATGCCGCATAACAGCCTCTGCCACACTCTCAGCCTGCGGCGACGGAGCACCATGTTCCTTAAGGACGTTCAGGGCCACAACACCGCCGTAGATATCAAAGGACATGAACACGTCGCGGGTGTACTTGTCGATAGTCCCGATGTCGTGGAACAGACAGGTGAGGAGCCAGGTTTCGTCGCTGAACTTCCAGGTCGGGAAGTGTTGTCTGGCGATTGCGAGGCCTGTTTACATGGGACTTGTGTTAACTAGAGGTAGAGTGTATGAGGTAGGGGGAAGTGTACCGTAGTAGAAAACGCGCAAGCTGTGGTTGAAGGTATGCGCTGGGAGCTCTGTCTTGGCGTACTCCAGGGCTGCTTTGGAGACCTGAGTGTCGGGGAGGGGGGTGTCTTTGACGAGCTGGGCAGCTGGGGCCTTGGTAGGAGCGAACTCCTTGGGGTTTATGGGCACGGCACCCCAGCCGTATTCTTCCACTTGGGCTGTTCTGGTGGACATTGTTTCGGAAGGGCTCAAGGGACTTGTGGGAAGATGTTTGAAGATGTGCTTGAAATGCAAAGAGTATTTATAAGTCTCATGGCAAGAGTCCCTTAGTAATTGTCCTGTCGACCGGCATGACGAAGTAGGAGCAGTGACATGGTTCAATATAGCGGGGATTTCCGAAAAGGGTAGTAAAACTTCGTGGGGCATCTAGCTGAGTTTTCATTGGTTGTATGTCCCCGGAAATGCATCAGGGTTCAAATCCCAAGTTAACAGCCTGTCAATGGAGTCTTATAAGTAGTTTCTGCAGCAGCCCCACGACATTTTACTTCCCTTTTAGGAAACCCGTACTATAGTTGTGTGCATCCTTGTACATATAGTTCTTGGACAAAAGTCTATGTAATTTTCCGCAACCACGAAAATATATATAATCACCAAAACATTTCTTTTCCACATAAAACAACCAAACATCAATATTTTTTCTCCATATAGTGATGTGACGGTTAGCAGGCGGCCGAAAAGGGCTACTCCGGCGGCCGTTTTAGGAGTCTTGTTAACCAAGTCCCGTCTTGGCATCAGGTGAGCGTATTCCCACGGCCACAGGCTTTTCCTCCATGCCAGGCCACGGATTTCACGCCCCTTGACGCTAGTCTCAAATTGGACTTTTGTTGCTATTTTGTCCAACATCATCTATCAAGACGCTCTCGCTGCAGTCGCAAAGGGTAGCCAGCTTTGGCTCCCCTCGACCATCATGTTTTCTTGAATTTATAAATCCCATTGTGCTGACAATGTCCTTCCCTGCTTCCATCCTTCCTCCCATGAGCATCTCTTGGAGCACTTCCCATCCTTTTGAGGTTTGTCTTCATCCACAAAACCACTGTCACTCTCATCCTCTTTATCTTCTACTCCAGACTTTCTTTTTGTCTGCCAGTTTCCTGCGGGCTGTGTTGACCATGGCGCCTCGCTCCTGACCAGTTGGATCTGACGACAAAGAGAATCAGACTGATGCCAGCTCTGACCTGACTGAGATCTTTTCAGACAACGGCTCTGGTGGCCTCGATTATTTTTTTTTTCTGAAGCCGGACTTCATGAAGAGATTCCTCGGGAAGAAGGCTGCGTAGGTGTTCTTGTTCTTGTAGCTCCTTGCAAGCTGGTCAGCTGACAGAATTGAATAGGAATGAGTTCAAGATTCCAGAAATTATCTTTGATCCAACTCTGGTACTCAGTCTGCATGTATGCTTGCTGAGTATGCTCTTTCATATCAAGGCTTCAAGAAAATTTCTACAACTGGGCCAGTACTGGATAGCCTGGAGAAACTTTACAGCCTTGGGGTTCTGGATGGCAAGGGGCAGCAGGAACTGAAACTAAAGGATGAAATACTAGATAAGTACATGTTCTGCCAGGTGGAGCAGGAAACTGCTGGGTATTGAATTGCCCTGGAAAAGAGACTGATGGCGTCTGTGGTGCGATCATGGATGCATCAAGGAGGCGAGATCACAGGCTTTGATCAAGTTGCCAGGCCGTACCTCCTTCAATATGCTGGAGCCAAGGAATTCAACAGCAGTGGTGAGTATTCATGAGCCCTTCAGCTAGTCAAGTAGCTAACCCTATGGATAGAAGAAGTTACTGATGCCCTCCAAAATGTCATTCTACAGCATGCAGATATCCGCACCTTCATCCAACATTATGAAGTGGATGTTGATGTTGATGTTCAGGGAATTATCTGCAAAACAGGTTCTCAAACACCATTAGTGCGATTTGCGTGCTTGTTGAGCGCCTCAATTGACCTGAATCAACCATATAAGCTCTCTCCTGAAGAATCCAAATCCCTCAATTGGCTCCCTGTGGTTCATGCACGGCAGGACATAGTAAATAAATGCAAATGGACATGGGATGACCGCAAAGCCAAGTTAGACCGTGCCAGTATGGCATGCCAAACTACCTTTGGCCACCTTGATGAAGGAGCGCTTTCCAAGCACCATCATCATCTACAGGAGAAGCTGGAACTTTTCCAGGATTGGACAATGGAAGCAAAGCAGAAGTATAACAAAGCTGTCTGTGAACTTTGTAATGAGAAGCAACGACAGCGGAACTAGCAGATCCAGGAGAATCTAGAATGGTATCAGAATGAGCAACCCATGATCAACCTTGAATGTCAACTGGCAGGGAAGCTGGTGGATACCAAGGTGATGGGGGCTCTGGAGCACAAGGGTTGTATGCCTCCACAGCATTTAACAGTGATTGATGCCACCTTGAGCATGCCAGGTGCCACCCTTGAAGCGGAGTATCAGCGTTGAATCAACGTGATTAATGCAATGACTGCATTCTGCCCTGTGGAAGAGGGGCGGCCCATGCCTCGGCCCAGCCAATCTCATTGCCGGCCTGTACCTGACAATGACAAACCCTGTCCTCCTGCCAAACAGCAACAGCATTTCTCAGAGGATGAGACTGAGATTACCCTGTTCCAAGCAATGGAATCTGTACAGATCAAGTCTCCAGAAGAGTGACCTAAGCTCTGCTTTCTTTGTCTGGGAAACGCTAATCTCCCACTAAAGAATCAGATTGTGGAACACGCAACACCCGGTTCACTCACCAGGCATTTTCTACAAAAACATGTCAATCCTCCCTGGCCAACCAAAGGGGTTGAGTGTAATATCTGTGGGGTGAAGCTGCTTGAACAGAAAGTTCATCTTTTAAATCACGCAGAGAGGTGTCACGGAACAGTTGTGCGAGGTTCCACTCAGGGAAGGCTAGCATTGGAATGTCAACACCAAGCTGGGCTTGTGTCATTGTAATAGAGAGTACTCCAAGCAATTCTCAGTAAATATGAATCGCTGTGCAACTTTGGAATGTATATAAATATATGGGTATTTTTGCTTCGGAGATGGTTGATAGCGGAGCAAGACTGATACAGATGATATAAATGTAGTGGAATATTAATTGTATTCAATGCTTGATGTTGCTGTACGTTATTAGTTATTGTCACAGATTAAAATGCGGCTTGGACTTAGCAATAAACAAAGAAATAATTTTGTAAGTGTTGGTAAAACATAGGTCCCCTACAGATTTACGTATGGTCCGAGTCATATTTTGTCTGCGGCCTGAAAGCAGTCATTTGTACACCACAAAATGATACCAGGTAACTACAGGTTACGGTTTTTGCCTAAGTAAGAAGTTTAAAATCAAATAAAACGAGACCAAACATTGCCTTTACATTCTTGGATATATAAACAGAGACAAAAAAAAAAAAAAAAAAAAAAAAAAAAAAAAAAAAAAAAAAAAAAATTAAAGAACAGTCATCCTGGAACTGCGGCCGCAGATAATCTTGCACATTCCGAGGTTCGAAGTTAAAGTACGGTCAAAGCGGGTGAAGCAGGAGCCCTAGGCGCCGAGAATTTGGTCTGGACGAAGATCTTCTGCATACCTTCTGCACGTTGGTTGAATAACTCGTACACCTTCTCCATGTCTTTAAGATCAAAACGATGAGTGACCATGTTCAACGGATGAATTTTATCCTGTTGAATGAGGGTCAATAGTTCGTGCCAGTACTTTTGCACGGGGCATTGTCCATTTCCGTTTAAATGGACACCCGTCTCCATCATGGAACCGATGTTGAAGTGGTTGCACTGGGCATTCGCGTTAACAATTAGTTTCGTCATGGGAGTATAGCACGTACGAATCCTGTGTATACGCCAGTCACACCACAACTTCCGAAGCCTCTGACTGAAGTAATCATCTCGTTCAGAAGCTCCGACGTATCGTTCTCCAGACCCAATGTCCTCTGAATGATATGACTCCAACTTTTCGCGTACTCACCAGCAGCACACTCAATGGTGATGTCAGGGCCACGCCAATTGCACATTCTTTTCAACGTAGAAACAACTGTTTCTCCACTTGGAAGTCTTGTGTAGTCGATTGTCTCAAGTTGCGGAATTTTTCCTTTCAGGAAATCTAGTCGCCACCTTCCCTCACCCCCGTCAATCAGTATCACTCGGCTCGCTCCATTTAGGACGGCAAATTCAACCGCCATTTGTCCAACAGGGCCTGCCCCCCAAACAGCGACTGTGTCTCCTTTTTCACACCTGTATCGACGACAGCATTCCAAGAAGTGCCCAATACATCTGACAATACAGTCCTTGTTCATCAGGAACATCGTCTGGTAAAGGTAGGAGATTCACGTCCCCATAGGGGACCCGGACAAATTCCGCCTGTCCACCAGCAAACCCTCTGGTGAAGTGTGAATATCCAAACATGCCTGATTTTGACATTAGTTCTAACAAGATGTAAAAAAGACATTGTGCCGAGGGAGAATAAGACCTGATGTTCGGCGCCCGTAGAGGTCACTTGCACTCTGACAGCCATTTGTTTTTTCACACATCGAAGATAGTTTTCTCTGGCAGTAGTAACACTCGCCGCACGCAATCTGGAAAGAGGCCACAGCTCTCTCACCTACCTTGCGCTTTTTGACCTTCGGTCCTATTTTCTCAATAACGCCACAGAACTCATGGCCAAGAATATCGCCTTTCTGCATGTTCGGGATGGCCGCTGCACATTGTGTTAGCAATCTATAATCTGAATGTACAAGGCAACGAGTTGACATACAATGGTACAGGTGGAGATCACTACCACAAATAGTACTGCCTGTTATCTTCAAGATAACATCTTCATCATCAACGATTGTTGGCTTTGCGGTCTCCACTTAAGACAAAAGGTAATCTCAGCAAGTCTTCATCAATACCAGATGACCAAAACGATAACAGATACTTACCCACTTTGACCTGGTTTTTGCCCTGCCAAGTCAATGCTTTCATTTTCTCGTGTGGGTCTCCATAGCCGGTATCAGAATAGTTGCTGATGTCGGTTGTGACAAGAGGTTTTTGGCTAGACATTGTGGATCGACAAAAGGCTTTAGTCTCCAAATAGGTTGTTGTGAAGAACTGAAGTTCTGTTAGCTCAATTGTCTTGCAGATGTGGTTTATGGATCTTATATAAAGCTGGAGTTTTGAATAAGTGAGCTAATGAGCAAGGTAACCATGGCTCTCTTTCTGCTGATGTGATTTCAACGTACTGGGTGATTTAATGATGATTTGGTGCCTCCAAAATATAAAACTTGTGGAGTACTCGGTTCAGCAATGTAAATAGCAATTTAAATACACATTAAAAGTTCTATATTTTCAAACCATACATACATCATCATGTTATTCGCACCAGCATGTCACTGTGATACAACGGTCTAGGCCTTTTCTTTCTTTCTTTTTTTTTTTTTTTTTTTATATTCAACTGGGAAGTAGGTGTATGTTACAGAACAATCCAGATGATCAGATCTATAATATCACAGTCTCATCTGTCATAACCTGGCTTCACTCGTATCGTAACCTAGGGTTCTAGTTAGACCTTGCCAGACCCTGAGGGTCACCCTCAGGGTGGACAAACACGACAAACATAAGGACCTCATGACATGCATAACTATGCAGTATTAAGACTGTATGTTCTGGTATTTACCTTACATGCTAAGCGTACGGGTAAAAAGTCAGGATATCCGAGCATTCTATTGAAAAATAAAATTATGAAGCTAATACTATTTACATGACTACCCACGACCGATTTCATACCCATCAAGAAACCTTGATCGTTTCCGAATACGGCCTGACATCCGCAATTGAGGGTCACCCTCATCACCCTCAGTAATAAGTCAATTGTAACCGGACGAGATCACCTGATTGTCACAACCTGGCTTCTCTCGTATCGTAACCTAGGGTTCTAGTGTCAGTAGTCTCAGTTTGGGGGCACTTACCTAAGTGTCCTTCGTTCCGGGTCCTTATATCGACAATGACCTCCTAAGGTCCGTGGTGTAGTATCTCGTGGTATATCGCCCCATCCAGGTTCCGTAAACAAGTAAGGTCGATAAGGTAACGAAGTAGAGAAACAAGGCCAACTGAGTACGTATACTCAATTGTTGGTTTAGTGCTGACGAGTCTGAACTAGAAAAGTAACCAATGCTTGATTGACGAGAACAATCGCGAAGAACTAAACTAGGTACATGAATGAGCTTCCTTATATATCCTTCCTTCGCCCTGGTATATCTTTTGCTGCGTGGTAGATGTATACTGGATGGTATACCGTATACCAAGTGGTATATATCTGAAACGGGGAAGCTTCGGGGCAGCGGTGCCGATTCTCCGGATTACCGTACGAGGCCCATATGACAGCCGTGGGCCGTAGAGACAGTATCGCGCAGTAGGGAATGTACGTAGTATTGAGTCTGCTGTAGAGTGCTTACTAGAACTCCCCCAGAGTGTTCCATCGCCGTACGATAAAACTTCTCCGGAGCTCACTAGATCGGTCCGACATTCATCCGATCTTCATCAATATCTATCGTTGCCAAGACATATATTATCACGTGATTTGGTGCTGCGGCATATTAGCTGATCCTTGTATCTTCTCGCATTCACCATCAATTAGTTCGAAGCATCTTCGATCGACGATGGCGCCTGTCACTCGCTTTTCAGCCAGAGACTGCGCCCCAAGCACGTCCAACAGCGGGACAACAGCCTGATTCATGGCATCGCCAAACCGGCGGGAATCCGCAAACGACTGAAGCCAGATAAGCCGGACAAACAGAAGACATCCCCAGTAGCGAACACCCCACTGATACTGTCGCTAGAACACAGGGAATAGAAGTTTTGGCCTTTCTATTCCATGTGAGTTGCCAGAATCTCAAGCAAAGCTTCTGCTGATGGGGTATCAGAATTGTTTTCATACCTGGAAAAATCAGCATTCTCAGTGAGTCCAGGCACATTGGTAGGTGTGCTTCGTGCGGTGTCATGTAGCATTCAAGGCGAAGCTGTTGGTAAGAATCGGCTTATCTTGCAGCAACCTCGGGCCCATGATTTATCATCTGCACGTTCCGGAGGCCTCGTTTCAGGGCTTATCAGTGACACGAATAGTATCATATGACCTCTGGATATCTCGGATATCGCTCACTGATTTACTTTTTTTTTTTTTTTGCTTATATAGCCTCCGATATGTGTCCATTCATTAGCTAGTTGACACAAGTATCAATCTCTATCCCGAGATACTAGCTCTTGCACAGGCCCCTTCCTAGCCAACAGAAGCTTTGGTATCCTCTAACGAACCGAAATCAGTCATGGCTGAGAATACTGAATTATCTGGCTATAAATACAGTAAAATGAAGATATTTTGTATTAAACAAATGCCCTTCTAGTAGGGCAACTAATTACCACTTATTGGAAAAGACTTTCCCATCAATGTAGTTAATCATATCCTTCACAGGCGAGAGATGATCGCGGCCTGCCCCAAAGAGCATCCCCTGACGCATCACCTTCCGATAATTCTTCCCCGGTGACACCTTGCCCAGCACATACTCCTGGCGTGTCTCAACCTGAGCTGGAACCGGAATTGACCGTCCAACGACCGCTTCCATTGCTTGCCAGGCAAAGGTGATCGCCTCCTTCGCTCCGCCAGGAACACCAGCATCGTCCAACATGAGAATCTTCGTATTGGGATAATTCTTTTGGATGTAGTTCGTAATATTAGGGTTATAGGCACCGCCCCCACACATGAAAATCTCGGCGATTTCCATCCCTTGGGGCGCATATCGCCGGTAATGGTCGACGATCGCCTGGGCCGTGACTCTGGTCACGGTTGCGATCACATCATCGGGTGAAAGACCCTTGGCCTCCGCCTTCTTGATCAGATCAAATGCAAGGGTATCTCGGAAGACCTCTCGGCCGGTTGTCTTGGGCGGATTCAATTTGAAGTACTTGTGTTGAAGGAACTCGTCCACCAGTGCTTGATCAACTGTGCCACGGGCGCCCATCTCGCCGTCCCTATCGTACTCGCGTTCACCATTTGTGTAATAGCGCACCACGGCGTCAATAAAGACATTCCCCGGACCAGTGTCAAAATCGTAGCATTCATCTACTCCACCCTTGTTATCGGGCGGGATGAAACAGACATTAGCGATACCACCGATGTTCTGGCACGCACGCAGTTTCGTCGGATGGTGTAGGAGCAAGGCATCAAAGAAAGCGATCAATGGCGCGCCCTGCCGACCAGCCGCTTGGTCGCTGACTCGGAAATCCGTGACGGATGTGATGCCTGTGCGAGACGCCAGGATGGACCCCTCGGCCATGGTGAGGGCGCTTTTGACCTCGCCCTCTTCTGGCATGGAGAGGAGCCAGATGGTTTGGCCGTGAGAGCCGAGGACGTCGATAGTGGAAATGTCGACACTGTGGTTGTGGCAAAATTCCTTGACGGCCGAGGCGAAGGTTTCTCCCAGGGTGACGTTGACTTCTGATAGTTCTGAAGGGGAGGATTGGTTGTGCAGGATGATGTTCATCACGCGTTTTTTTATGGTGGGCTCAAGGTCGACCTCGCCGTACTATTGACATATATCTTAGTGGGCGGTTTTTAGGTACATCGGAGGGGCTTGATTGTCTAGTCCGTACATACCTTGAGAAGCTCAAAGCGCATGGGAAATTCAGGAGTTTCTTGGTAGAAGTGACAAAGGGCACAGTCGATTCCGTCCTGCAATATAGGAATATGGTTAACTATCATACTTCCATATTCTACACAAGCGGTCTTCTGAACCTTACCATCGACGTGCCACTGTTTAATCCGAGAATCGTCAAATCCACAACATCATTGGGAATGCCATTTGTCTGGCCGATAGAACCCATGGTGATATTCGAACCACAGTATATCAAATCACTTTCCAACGGCAGTCAGGAGAGGTGATATAACAAATAGAATGGTGAGCAAAAACGAAGCAATGAAAAAGACGCAAGATAGGTATTTAAAATCTTGCAAGTAACCATTAGAACTGTCTCAAAGCATCCTTGCGGCCATGCATGAGTTTGAATGGAGCCAACTATCAACTGATTGGAGGCAGACGCTCATTTCGGGATTTGGTGGTAAATGGATACACGGCAAAACGGCAAAACGGCAAAACGCTGAAATGTCTCTCCTCCCCACCCATTTTCGCTGATCACTGTGGATCATTTCTACAGAGTAATCAACTACATACCCAAACCATCGCGCTACCCAAATTCTCGGGGGCCGGGGGGGGGGGGGCAATTAATCCCGCTTAAACGCTTCTTCGGCCGGGGTTTGTCCGCAGTGTCTCTCTACACGTTCCTCTTCACTATGCCTTCAGCTCTTCTTTCCTCATATGATGTTTTAAGGCTTTAAGCCGTTTAAATACGGCCGCGTAGGCCTTCTGATGGATTCTAGTCATGTTATAAAACGGATATCCAGAATCCCTATCTATGCGAATGGGTAGATTTTTATCCCTTCATGCTTTCTGAACTTCGTTCCCGTGTTATATTGTATGTACAAGCTGGTCTTATTCAACATCATCATCATTAACCATGGGCTACACGACGTTCTGGAAAAGGCTTTCTACAACCCAGCTCAACCTTGCCATTCACACCTTGTCCCTCCTTTGCATCTTTTTCGAGGGATATGATCAAGGTGTGATGGGAGGCGTCAATGCCTCCCCTTACTATGTCACCGAGGTGGGCATAGGCAAGGCCGACGGCACCGTGACCGACACCACCCACCAAGGTGGCCTGGTCAGCATTTACTACCTCGGCTGTATCTTTGGCTGTTTTGTTGGTGGATGGCTTGCGGATCGTATTGGCCGTATCAATGGTCTGTTCATTGGTTCTTTGTTTGCTATGGTCGGTGGTGCTTTGCAGGCTGCCATCCAGAGTTCGGACTTCATGTTGGTTGCCAGAGTGGTGACGGGTATTGGGACTGGAGGTAAGTGGTATCAAAAGAAATGCGTCTGTCGGGTCTGTCTCTGACTAGATCACAGCTTTGACTGGTATCGCACCTGTTCTGGTGTCAGAGACTTCCTCCGCGA